GTCAGATGAACTGCATTTTTGTCTATTTTAACTTGTCAGTGACATGGCTCGTGTGAATATGAACCTTCTGCATTGTTTCAGCACCGGGGTGTCAGAGTACTGGCCTGCGACGTGTTTTTTAATCATTATTAAATCCTCAACCCGCATAAAATCTGAATTTGTGTGAATTGGGAACACTGAATGTAACGGACATTTAATGTCATTATAATAGAATATTTATGTGTGACAGATATTAACATCCATGGACACTGTTACCTGTCAATTTTCAACAGTGTATGTCAATTGAATAAGGAGAGCAGCTTCTTAAAAATGTCTCCATGCATGGAGTTTAAGTATTTCATTTGATATTTGTTGGGATGCAAACTGTTCTTTATTGTTTAGTTACTTTTAAACTAGTCATGCAAACGTAAAGGTAAATACCACTTTGTGGTTCCTACATGACTTGTTTGACAAAAATCTGTTAATATGAAATGAATCAGCTGACAGTCGCCCTTTTACAGGGATCACATGACAATCAGGAGATGGAGCCATTTTCACCTGCTGATCACAATGAGCCAAACACAGAGGTAAATATGCACTAAGGGCGTCATGCATGTTTAATTATAAAAACATAATTAATACAACTATACTGTTAAATAACCAGTTTTGGACTGAGCTGAGGTAGGGATATTGTAGTGTTTTTGTATAAGGAAGGTAATTTATATGTCAGGTTTTATACTTGCATCCTGGGTTTTAGGTAAAGTACCCAGACTCTCCCATGGTGATTCCAGTCCACACTGGCTTTTACTGACTCAATTCTGTGGCACATTCCCTTGTTGTAATACAGCTTCACCTTCTGCTGTTCACAGGTTACAGAGGAGAGCAGCACTGAAATCTGATGGATTCTAACCACACTGTATTGTTGTCCGATTGCCTACAGTCTTACGTTTCCAAGTCCTGTTGTATAACCAAGCTGGTCAGATGAACAGTCACCAGATTATCAATGATCTGTTACATTTAATTTTATTTGACTTGAAAGACTTTTCTGGGTAGCAGATGGACATTTGCTTGTACAGACTGGCATGGAAAAGTGTATCTGCAAAGACTCATACTGGGAAGAACCAGTAACTCAGGACAACCTGCCAGTCTTTTGTAAATATGTGTGTGTGATTTTCTCACCTTTATTGTGTTCTTTACAGTATTAAAATGTACATTATAATTATCTGTAATTATTCTGAATAAATTCTCAGTGTTTTTTATTTGTCTGTGGCTCCATTATGCTCATTCTGACTCTTGATGATTCCTGTAATGACTCTGTTCTCCTCTTTGATTATTGATGGTATCTTTGCTCAGAACATAGAGCAAACAAGCCGGGGCATGACTTTGTGGGTCCTGCATGATGGTTTTGGGTCTTATGAACTTTATATGATTTCATGTAAAGCTTGAAAGTGATAAATCCAAAGAGCATTTGCTGTTAGATTAAGTTTAAAAGCATCTTAAGCTATTTGTTGCTGCCACACTGAGTATATTTGTAAGGCTGTCGGCTGTTGACCTGAATGTCTTCCCTGTAATGGGTGTGTTGCTGCCCCATGCTGGCCAGGGGTGTGTTTCCCGTACAATGATGGAGGACAGCATTAAACTAACATGGTACGATGCATCGTTAGACTAACATCTGTAGTACGACTGTTTCCCAAGGGCATCGTACTTAGTACCACAGTAGTTTGTACCATGTTCATACTACCATGGTCCCAGAAGTGCTTGGTCTGACTTTCACAGCGGAAAGTATGCAAAAAAACTTGCAAACTTTAAAATTATTCCGAAATATGACAGTTGTGACAATATTACATTATTAATTTATGTATAGGTGCTCAACAATAATTCATTTCCACATTCTCATAGCGATGGACTCCTGCTTAATCATATC